TGGGGACAGAAAAAGGGACAGGGGGATGGGGGGGTACGGGGGGGACCCCAGAGGGACAGTGAGGATGATGGTGGGGACAAAGGACATTGGGGGACCACGGGGTGACATCAGGGGACCCCAAAGGGGACAAGGGACATTGGGGACACTGCCACCGGCTCTGTCCTGTCCCCAGGTGTCCCCGGAGCTGCTGGAGCCGTTGGTGACTGTGGTGGCCATCCTGGGCGAGCTGGGGGCCACCCCAGGGGACATCCCCCTGGCCGGGTCACCGGGCTCGCTGCGGGCCAGGCTGGTGGCCCTCATCGCCAACATCCGCCGGGCCATGGACCACCATCACGGAGATGCCACCCGCCTCCGTCGGGCCCTGGCCACTGCTGGAGCCACCACCGGGGCCACCCTTGAGCCCACTGTCGTCCCACCAGGGGATTCCACTGTCCCCAGGGCCACCACAGGGGACGCTTGGGCCATCGTGGTGACCATCACCCGCGAGTGGCGGGAGGCGGTGGCCTCAGTGGTGGCCACCTGGGCCACGGTAGCGGGGGATGCTGCACACCTGAGGGACGCCTGTGGGACCGCGGCCACCACAGGGGCCACCGCCGGGGTCACCATGGGCCACCTGACAGCGGCGATGGCCCAGGAGGACAGGGCACGCCAGCAGATGCTGGCGGTCACCCGGGCTCTGCCGGTGGCCTCAGAGTTGGCTACGATGGCCGAGGTGCTGGCAGCCCACAAGACGCAGGTGTCTGAGGCCAGTGCGGGGCTGCAGGCGGCTGCCGAGGCCACCGAGAAGATGGCGGTGGCAATGGTGGAGACGGCGGTGGCTGGGGAGAGGGGACGGCTGGCGGCGGTGGCCCACAAGCCCCTGGGACGCTTGGTGGCCGCCTGTCACCAGGCCACCCTCTTCTACTGTCACCTGCAGCGCCGCCTTGAGGACATCGAGGCCACCGTGGCTGCTATGGCTGCTGGCCACGGTGGCCCTGAGGCTCCTGGAGTGGCCCAGGAGGGTCCTGATTTCCCCGGGTCCACCATGACCGTGCAAGGAGGTCCTGGTGTCCCCGAGGACCTGATGGCAGCGGTGGCAGTGGCCGAGGCACTGTGGGATGCTAGCGCCCGCCTGGCCAAGTGCCACCTCTTGGGGACACTGCGGGTGGCCCGGGGGCTGTTGGTCAACCCCAACGTCCCCGAGGCCACCACCGTGGCCCAGCGCTGCCGGGATGCCACTGCCGCCCTCCCGGGGCTGCTGCCACGGGGACCACGGTAGGAGACGGTGGCTTCGTTGGGGAGCACTGGCATCAATGTCACTACTGCAGTCTTGGTTCCGTGTCGCTTTGTCCCCAACGTATGCGTGTGCCCCCCCGTATCTCCTTTGTCCCCACGTCCCCTCCCATGTCAGTCCACCCTCCCGTGTCCCCATGTCACCTCCCATGTGTCCTCTTCATGTGCCTTCATGTCACCTCTCTCATGTCCCCTCCATGTCTCCATGGGGGTTCCTGGTGTCCCCAAAGCCACCACGACCATGCAAGGGGGGAGGGGTGTGCTGTGTCCCCATGGGGAAATTCAATGTCCCCAAGGCCACCATGATGGCCCAAGAGGGTCCTGGTGTCCCCAAGGCCAGCACAGCCACGCAGAGGGATCTCCTCCCCCGTGTCCCCTCCACCTCCCACATGTCCCCATGGCCTGTCCCTGTCCCCGTATGTCCCTGTGTCCCCATGCCCCCCCGCAAAAGCAGAGGTGGGGGGAGCTTGTGGTCCCCCACCCCATCAAGGAGGTGACACCCGTGTCCCCTCCATGTCCCCATCAAAAGGGGGAAGGGTTTGGGGTCCCCCACACCACTGGGGAGCCCCCCCCATGTCCTCCCATGTCCCCCCCAAAAGGTGGGAGGTGTGTGGGTGTTGGGGTCCCCCATCCCTACCAGGGAGGTGACGCCCCCACACCCCCCCGAACCCCAAATCACCCTCTTTTTTTTTTTTTTTTTTTTTTTTGCTACCAAAACTCTCTTTTATTGGGGGGCTGCCGGTTGCTGCCGGTTGCCCCGAGAAGTTTCCCGGGGGAGTCGTCGATTCCGACTACTACGTCCCGACACCTTCCTGGATTCTCGGGGGGACCCGGGAACACCCTGGGGATCCTCGGGGGGGTGACTAAGGACCCCCGGAGGGACTGTAGAAACCTTGAGGGGATTTGGGGGGGTCCCGTGAGAACGGGGGGGGGTCACGGGGAGGAGGAGGAAGGGCTGGAGCTGGAGCTGCTGTCGCAGGAGCCCCGTCAGCAGCAGCTCGGCTGATACCAGGGGCAGGCGGGCGCCCAGCGCCGGGGCCCAGCACCCTTTGTCCGCCTCGCAGGAGATCACCAGGCGCTGTGGCTTTTTTTTTTTGGGGGGGGGGGGGAGGGGGGGAAATGTCACTGGGGGCCCCCACATGCCACTGGGACACCCCCCCCCACTCCATGCTGTGCACACACAAACCCCCCTGGGGCAGTCTGAGTTTTCTGGGGTCCCCAATATCCCCTGCTAATCCCAATGGGATCTGCCCCCCCCCCAATCAGGAGTCCTGGGATGCTCTGACACCCCCCTGCTTTGTGGGACACCCTGCCCCCCAGTCCCAGTGGAACCCCCCCAACCCCCAAATCTCCCCCCAGGAC